ATGTTCGATATATTTTTCGAAATTAGAATTAATTCATTTTTTAATTTCACGGTGTTCATTCTGATCTTGCCATATTTATCCATCGTTGTTCATGATATATTCCAGTTAAGTCATTAATTGTTACAAGAGGAAGAGTTCCTGAGATGGATATTTTATTGGTAATAAATCCTATAAATATTTTTTTTTTTCTACGACAAAAAAACTTCTGAAGCCCGTAAGGCGAGTAAAATTTGAAGTCGTAAAATTTACAAATTAGGAGACTCACCTGTTTCGTCATCCATTCAGAATCGTCTTTTAAAAATTCGGTGACGAGAAAATGCTACCTTTATAGGAAATTGGGCTTCGCACATAAGTAAAGATCGTTAATAATTGTACATTGTAACGTCCGGTGAGAACTTTAGTATCTGTAATTCCTTTTAATTTTAGGGCTTATTAACCCTTTTCAGGAAAAAGAGAGTTGCAATTGAGGAGGCACGGGTTTTGGCTCTCCTCTTTCAGACGTACTTCAATTTTAACTCGAAAAAGAGATTGTATCCATACCTGAGGGAAACTAATCGTTGTTTCCTAGACAGACTCCGACTTGTCTTCGCTTGAGGTGTGAAACAATTTTGTTCAGAGCAGGTTGCCAACGTCCAACTGAAGCTGAAAGGTTGGTTGGAGATAATTATAGATAATAGTTAATTAGCCCCTATCCTTAATTCCTTACAGTGGTGCATCTTTGTTGGATCAGGGGGATGCTATGGTAGACAATTAAAGTTTTCTCCTACTGAACGTTGTTGTGTTTTATGGCCAATTGGAGCTGAATTGGAGCTGAAAAGATGGAAATTATGTCACACCGGGGACAAACTCTTAGTAGATAAATAGCCATCGTTCGTCTTCCTTACAGGGGGATCTTTGTTGGCTCAGAGGGAATCTATGGGAGGCGGTTGAATTTTTGGGCTTTTTTTTTCAATATAGACGTTGTTGTATTTAAATTTGATAAACTTGATAAGGTTGCTAGCAAGCGGAATCCAAATCCCAATTTAGACCCAGATACGTGAAAACCTAACTCTCGCATTTTCATATCAAGCGCCAGGTGGAAAGGAGAAGCTTGGTATCTGAGTTGTTGTTATGATAAGCTTATTGTAAGCTTTTCTTTTCGGTGAAATTAAATGATTACTTCCCCTCCACGTTTACCACAGCAGGTAAACAAAACAGTAAAGAAATAAGTTATTAGTTTGACTCAGTGCTATTGTCTCAGGAGATTAATTAAAGTTGGTTATACCTTCCTTTTTATTAATTACGATAGAGCTCTGACACCCCTGAGCGTGGTTAAAATCTCTAAAGAAACTGTGGTGCTGCGGCGGTGGAAGAGTATAACAGGGTAATTTGGTGTTATCAGCCCAATTGAAAACGTAAATTGGCCACCGTAAAAAGTTTAAAGACTGAATTTTCGAGAGTTAGCCCTTTGTCAATCGCTCTGACGAAGGGCTAACGGAATACTACTAGTTGTATATAAATTATATTGTAAATTGATTTTGGGTCCTGAAATGATCAGGAAATAATCGTAAATTAAAGTGAAAACAACCTGATTTAATTCCATGGCACTGGATTACTTCTATAATTGAATACTTTGTTGCAGGACACTCGTTTGAGGCTTTTATTTTTAAAAAGGAAGAAGGGGAACACGACTTCTGGTTAAATGCAGCATTTAATAAACTCGACTACTTTCCTATTACAGCATCATACTTTGAATCCACGAAGCCTGCTGCGGCTAGCGAAAAAAGACTTTCGAAGGTCGACAAAGTAATGTAGAAATTCAGTTAATGGCTTACAAAAGTCTCCCTGCAGGCTCGTCAGTACCTGCCATGCGTACGACTAAGGCACAGCAATATTAGGAGCGAATTGAGTACTGCCAACCCGCTTTTAAAGTCAATGTTTTTGCCGGAGTAGTGGCCTTTACGGCTAATGGTTAACATTTTAGCTGATTTACAGCTAACGGTTGACTTCTTTCCGTTACGGTTAAGAGAAAAAAATTACATTTCACATATTTTATTATTAAATTTTACGCCTAACAGCTAAAAGTTTTCAACGTTGAGCTAGCCAAAGGTTAATCTCAATAAGACCCCCTCAAAGTTATTTTTGTTCTTTTCCTGTGATTTTATTGAGTCAAAAAATATTTCAAGTGAAAATATTATTAAAAAGTGCTGTTTATGACTATAATGTACTTTTTTTCGGTGAAAGAAAAAAGCTTAACACAATTATCAGCCAGATAATTTCAATTTTAAATCCTTTTGGTGACAAGCAAGTTATTATGAAGATAACTCAATTATTTTTACGAGTCCGTTATCATTGGGGCTACCGCCATTCAAACCCGAACAACTCTGACCACGGCAATACGAACCCCCGCCCCCTCCAGCCTGTTTAGGGTGGGTACCGCTGCCTCCCCCAGAGTACCCTCCACCTCCACCCGATGCACCATTATCCTCTGATCCTCCTCCCCCTCCACCAAACCCTCCCACTGCTCCTGGTGCTAATCCGCCGTTATTTCCGCTTTTCATCCCACCGGCTTGACCACCAGTCCAACCTTGACCACGTGATCCACCTCGTTGTCCGTGTTCAGAACCAGCTCGGGTACAACCAGTGCCATGCCAACCAGCACCTACACCCCCATGGTAGCTAGCACCTGCATTGTTACATTCACCTGGCTGCCCCCCTGTGCCTCCCTTCCTAACCTGTGATGGTTCTTGCCCCATACTGCTGGTTCCACTTGTTCCCACCTGACCATCCACACCGTTAAATCCACTGGAAGCACCACCACCTCCTCCGGCGGCTAATAACAAGATATTACCTGTGGTATAGACAAAACTACCACCCCCTCCTCCAGTTCGAGCATTGTCCTCTACAGACAGTCCCAGCTGAGCTGCTGTTGAGGAAGTGGATCGACCACCCTTCACCTCCACTGAATTTCCACCACGCTGTCCAACCACAATATTCAGCACTGTTCCTTTATTCAATCTGAACTTTCCTTCTATGAATGCTCCCTTACCACCGTAATATGTTCCAGGTCTATATCCATAATTGTATGAATGTGTTCCACCACGAGCTCCCCAGGCCTTTATTTGGTAAAGGGTCGTACGTGGAACAGTGAAGGTCTGAATAACGCCATACCTTCCACTTCGTCCACTTGTTGTAAACTTCCAAGTAACTATAATGAAAACACGCACGTGTCATTTGTAATTCTTAATATCCTTCACTGGATGAAATAATGGATTTGACCACATTCGGTTCTAGGTCAAATATGAGACAAATCTGATGTTACAATGTGACAAATGTCATATTTAAACCATATTTACACTACATTTATCTTATGTCAAATCTAATTTTTCGTTCAGTGCTTTTAAATTTGATCCAGCAGTGAATATTTTTACCTTCTATGGTACTGTGGGAAAAGAAGCTAATCTTCTGATAGTCGAAGGAAATAATTGTTTCGTTAAACTTGTACGCTAAGAGGAAGAGAAAAATCGTACTCAACATTTTCTTCGTATACGTTCGTGAACAGTTCTAAGTCCGGGCCGTAAATATGTTTCCCAGGACATCTCATTTTCAACTTACTACGTGAGGTGGCAATAAATTGTTACAAGTCATTAACCATATCTTTAAACGGAGTAACTGAGAGAAAACTTCCTAATCGCAATCGCTTTGCACATTACATAAGCCCTCAATTACTAGTAATTTTGTGAATCCAGCCGAAATATTAGCCAAAACATCGGGGTTTTAAACTTTAGGTTTTATATACATCTCCAACCAGAGCAACGTTTTATTAGTCATTATGAATTCCTCTGGTTACTGATCCATTTTTAAAACACCGAGGAAAAAGACATCATGTCT